AATTCCCCTTGGCATATTAACCATGAGATGCATGCATTAATATTCCAAGTTTACTACCGTTGAAAGAACCGGATTAATAACAAGCGTATTAACCGATTGATTCTAGTAATAATTAATATGAGAAACAAAACTAGTTGATACTTTAAGTAATGTTTAAAATATTAACATGAAATATGAATAGGAATTAATTAATACTCAAGAAAGAATATTAAAGAATATGAATCCTACTATGATTAACATCAAGATGTTAACTAAGTGTCATCTTAGTAACACTCCCCAATATTAACATAGAGGAAGAAATAACCATTACTATAACCAATGTCAAGATGTTGACTAATTGTCATCTTAGTAACACTCCCCAACTTTGATATAGAAATAGTATTTGAAAGGAAGAATTAATATTCAAGGAAGAAGATTAAAGAAAATAACTCACAACTTACAAATTCATTAAGCTTCAAAGTAGCAAAACCAAGATGGAAGGGTTTAGCTCCTCATTTGGAGACTAAACATGCTATAAAAATATAAGAAATGCTATTCTAAACTGAGCTTAGGAGTATGGAAGAAGGGATGAATAAAAGTGAAGGAAAAGTGTGTTATTTATAGGTATTTTCAACACCCTAGGGAGGATACCCGACCGGGTAAAAGGACATATCCGACCGGGTAAATATCAAAATCAGATATTCTCCACGTTCTGGTGATCTTCGGCAAGTTCTGGTGTTCCGGGTCAAGTCTGACCCGACCGGGTACCATAGGGGACCCGACCGGGTCCAACTCTTTCATTGAAATTTCGGTTGTTAAATCAGACCCAACCGGGTGAAGTCTTCTACCCGGTCGGGTATTTTCTCCTAGACAGTAAAACCTCCTTTTTCTTCACTTCAAAGTCATCCTTTTCAATACCATAATTCCTAATTCTACTTTACAACTTACAAATGAAGATTAAAATACAATTACAACTAAAATCACACAAATGTTGACAAACTAAATAAAACGATAAACAATACACATAAATCAAACATAAAAATATACATTTATGCACTACTAATTAGTGCATATCAGCACTGAGGAAGCCGGTCTTGAGGTAAAGGATCACGTTGAGACCGAGGGGTCTGCCGTGATCTGAGGACGCACGGCAATGAAGAGTAGGTCCTATAATATGATGACGAGGCAATGATGAAGCCGATCGTCATGTATAACACCATGTTGAGACCGAGGGGTCTGCCGTGATCTGAGCTAGCGGTGCTGGCTGATGTGCCAGGAGCTCTTCAACCGTGGACCTGGCCGTTTTCTTCAAAACAAATGAGTGACCACAAACCTCTGGTGTCGGGTTGATGTGTCAGGGCTCCTAAAATGTGGACTTTGCCAATTGTGTTGGGGTAACCATCCTACGAACGTCTCCGGAAACAGCCCAAGAGAAGAGGTTACAACCGCATAGGGGACGCCCGACCCCATGGTGTCGCCAAGGGTATTAGCTGGAGACGTACGTCTGATACGTAGGCAACCGTGAGGGGACGCACGTCAGGAGACACTAGCTCATCGACTTGGGAGGTGCCCATTGTATTATCCGAGGACGTACGTCGGATTCAATTCTTCTGCTTTCCGTCCCCATGGGAGACGTCCGTCTTCAAGGAAATGGCTGCGTCAGGGATACCAAACTAGCCAGGGATACGTCAGGGGGCGTACATCGGGTACCAAACTAGTAAAGGGGATACAGAACGGCGACGTACGTCGGATTCAATCCTTACTTTCAGGAGATAGCTGTATTCAAAGAACACCGTCATGGGACGTACATCAAAAGTACCTTTCCAGCCAAGGACACCATCAGGGGATGTACATCAGGTGACTTGGGAGGTGCCACAGGCAACGTACGTCGGAATTAGTTCTTCCTTGCATCCCTATTGGGAACGTTCATCTTGAGGATGCCAAACCCGGAAACGGGATAGCTTCAGGAGATAGCTGCATTCCAAGGACACTGTCGAGGGACGTACGTCATGAGATACATACATAGAGTGGCGACGTACATCGGATCCGATTTTGATTGCTTTTGTCTGCATGGAGACGTTCGTCTTCAGGGTACCGAACCCAGAAGGGAGACATGTGCATTCCGAATTCAACCGTCATGGGACGTACTTGACGAGGGGTACTTGGTACCCCTCGGTTGGTGTGCTTGACCGTTGGCCTAGCACTTGGTGCCGTCAGTTTGCCGTGGGCAAACCTCAGCCGGTAAATTGCGTCATCTGTGTGACGACTTTTTGGAGGTGCTTTGTGTTCAAATAAAGATCACCAGAGGCTAGGTCGAGGGACCCAAAGCAAGCTCAGATCATTTAAAAAATGACCGGAGCTCGACTGTGAAGCCCAGAGCTTGGCTCGCACCACGCCGGAGGACTTTGACCCGCCGGTGACGGTGGTGATAATATAATATAATAATAATAGTTACATTAATAACATTAAATAATAATTATAATAATCATACCGGACCTGAGTTGCCAATACCCTTGGGGTAAGAGGGTCCTTGTGCGGAGTTGGATGACAGGTTCCCTGGAGCCCTCGACAAGCTTATCTGCATTTCGTCCACCTTGGCCAACATGGCGGCGTATATGGGCTCCGTCTATGAGGCGGAAACTGTCGTTTGGGCCTGACGGGCCTCCATCTTGTCGAGCCGGCACTGGAGGACCTCAATAATCTCGTCCCTGTGGTCATTCGGGAGTTCCTTTGCCCCATGCGATTGTTCGCAGGCTGAGTGGGCATGGTTGATCTACTGCCTGAAATCATTAGCACGTAGCAGTCCATTGCCCTTGTTCCGATCTGAGGGGGATGTCTCTCATCTGCCCTCGAGACGGATCCTCCGCTCTCTTGAGGCCTTTGGAACACTTTACCATCGAGGCGGTCTTGGACCCCTCGGTGATCACGTGCTCCTCTGAGCCTGTCGAGGGCGGAGATCCGTGGCATATCTTTGTTCGCGCCGCGCTGGTCCCGAGACTAGACCTCCTGGGACACGGTGTCCTGAGCAATGACCCCCTCATTGTGCCGAAGGACGTACATCGTCTGGGGCCTTATGTTCTGAAGGACGTACGTCTGCGGGAGCATTCAGGGGCCTTGTTTGTTGTGTTTGGACCGCTTGGGCTTGTTGGGCTTTATTGTAGTAGTGGAAGTATGTGGGTCGGGGGTTCCTGGGCCATATACTCCATCAGCGAGCGTCCTCACGTATAAGATGAATGTGTGGCCTACACGCTTGCTGGAACACTTATGATTTGGACCTGGATGGTTTTCTTGTTAAAGGGATAATGGACCGACTTGCCATCGAGCCTATAACCCAACACAGAGTTTCATCAATTTAAATAAACTGTATCAATTCAAATTATATAGGTGGATGTGGATAACATTAAGACCTACAGCGATGAGTAGATGTGAATATAATGAAGGACCGAGATGTTCTGTTGTTATAATATAGAAAGAATGAGGACAACTCATGTCTAGCTGACCTGACGAGAACTGTCGTCCGGTTGAGGCCATTTGGGACACTTCCTATGATATTTTGTTTATATTTTTTTTTGTTCATGTCTTTCATTAATTCTAATTTATGCTCACCAAATTTCTGCTAAAAATTCAGTCTGAAAGTCACTTAAATGTGTAATTCAAAAACAATGTGTTGTTTATATATATAAAGCGCAATGTTCTTAAATAATTTATTTAATGACTTCCAGATTGAATTTTTAGCTGAAAATTGGTGAGCATAAACTAGAATAAATGGAGAATATGCTCTAGAAAATTCATCAAAAAATCCATCAAGAAGGACCTGGAATGACCTCGGTCGGAAGGCGGTTCCCGTTTGACCGGCTGGACAGGAACACTGCTCTAGAAATAATTAAAATCGGCTTTTTAATGAAAGTATATTGCTTGTAAAGTCTATACTTTTGTGCGCCCTAAGTTATTGTAGTATTTCTTATTTTTTTGAGTACTACGTGTAATTTAATGTTGAGGACCGTCAAATGATTCATGATACAAAAAATCATTCGTTTTTTCCATTTGACTCTTTAAAATTTTTAACACGTCTCTCTCAAAAAAAATTGTTAAGACATTTTCCCTAATCAATAATAGTGATAGGGTCTCCATACAAAAATACTACATATGTCTCATTTTATGTGCATTACTTGATTTGACACAATAATTAATAAAGTAGTTTAAAATTTACAATATAAGTTGTTATTGAGATGTGAGTATAGTAAAGTAAAATGTTGTAGATCGCACATTTTTTCCGATAAAAGAAATGTTATATTTATTTTGCGATTATTCAAAAAGAAAAATAGAACTAGTAATAATAGATGGGGTCTATGTGGTACGGAGTAATAAATGTGATAGTCTTGAACCTTTTTGAATTTGAATTCAACTTAAATACTAAAAATATGTGGTAACATGAATTCACTATTTACTCATTCATCTTATCATCAAAAACGGAAATAAAATTATCATTTTGAAACAATCTAATTAGGAAATATAGTGAAAATTGCCTTATATATGTGATTTTTAAAGTTGTTGGCAATAAAATTGAATCTATTGAATCTTCCTTCATGATTAAATCATTTTTGCTAATTAAAATATACATATTCAGAAGTTGAATTGAAAATTTTATATAAAGAGTGCAAAATTCAAACAAGAGTATAATACTCTCTCCGTTCTCCGTTGTTCATTAACTGTCTCGCATTCCTTTTTAAGACGTTTTTTTATTATTTGTCTCTCTTTCTATTTTAGGAATGATTTTGGTAAAATACCCACACTTTTATTACTTTTATCCTTCTTACTTTTTACAAACTACTTTCTCCTTCCTACTTTATCATAACTTTACTCTACTTAATTAATATACTATATTTCCTACTTTATCATCACTTTATCACCACTTTACTCTTTTTAATATACTCTTTTTCCTACTTTATCATTTACCCTACTATTTTTCTATTAAAACATGTGTCCAAGGCTAACGGGACAAATCATAAAGAACGGAGGGAGTAATTTTTTATATCTCAAATACTTGTAAGTAAATAAAATCAAACTCTATGGTTAAGAAAAGTAGACTTTGTAAATCATTTTTGGACGGACTAAGTTTTTTTTGACCAACTAAGGATATTTTTACTTGGACTGTAATTCCTCCCAGACTAGACCATATCAGACCAGACTAGTTCAGACCAGACCAGACTTGGATAGTTATAAAAATACAAAGAAACCAGACCAGACCGATTTAGACCAGACCAGACCACAAATTACATTCAAAATAAAAACATGCTAAGTATTTTATTTTAGTAGGGGAGCACGGAACATTTATTCTATTTTAGGATAAAAATATGCAGCTTATACTGAACAGTAGCAAGATATACGAACATTTATACGGCAAACAGCGACTAAGTACATCGAACCTATAACTTGAGAACGCAACATGCATAGCATAAAACAAACACTAGAGATTGATGACATCATCTCAACAAACGTAATTAATACTCCGATAATCTAACGTAAGACTCATAATAGTGACTTAAGATAGTGACAAATGGTAATAATCAAAAGCCGCGCCCAAGTTAACTAATGAGACAAGTACGTAATTAACGGGCGCTTCATGGAAGTGGGAGGTCACCGGCGCCGGCGCCGAGAGTTGGCAAGCTGCTTCCTCCACCTATACCTGCGCCAGCTCCGCCGATTGTTGGCAAGCTGCTTCCTCCACCAAGCCCGGAGCCACCGCCGAATCCTCCACCAAGGCCGCCGCCGCCGCCAAGGCCGGATCCAAAATCACCATTAGCACCCGCGCCGCTGGCAAAGCCGCCGAATGGGAGGCCGTTGCTTCCGATTCCACTCATGCCACCAACTCCGCCGTAGGAGACGAAGTTCTTCTGGTCGTCGAAGCCACTCTCATTTCCGGTGGCCGGCATGCTTCTAGCGGCGCAAGCGGTGGAAACGGCGGTTGCGAGGAGAAAGAGAGCGATGCACAACTTAGGAGTAGCCATTAATTATATTTGTTAATTCTTAGCTTACTTGAGTTGTTTTTTGAAATAATTGATGCCTAAAGGAGAAGAAGAAGATGTATTTATATAGGCAGGAATGCAGGATTGAAGTATAAGGGTTGGATCGATGAGAAGTAATTACGTAGTACGTACTATGCATGGACAGATAGAAACATTTAATGTAGAAATTAAAGCTAAACTCTTACTCGCTAATATCTTGGAAGCTGGCGAGCTTCCAGCAGAGCTTATTTAGCACAAATTGCTTCTGAGTTATGTTATGGAAATCTGGAATATAAACTAAAGCCCCCTGAATAGTACAATGGTGTTTGGCAATCACCTAATTGTGTGGGCAATCACATTTTCCAAAAGTTTGAATCCTCAATCCCAAAAATCCCAGTCCGACAAGACTTTTTTGAAATTGTAAGTCACGATGACTCGATCAAACTAACGGTTGTAGACCTTGTACCTGTGCGCATCAAAGGTCTAACCCAACACACGATTGCTGTGAGTTTTGATTCTTGATTAATATTCCCAACACTCAATCAACCGAGCTTCCGGTGCAGGTATATATGCTGGGCAGTCACACATTCCTAGCTATTAGTTGATGGTCAATTATATCAATAGATTAATATCAACGCATTCTTTTAATTAGCTATTTTAACGAGCTGAGTTAGCTAGTATCAGATTAAAGTAAATGATTTGATAACTAAGCCGTTTGCGATTAGGTATTAAGACGTAAAATATCAGTCTTTGTACAATAGTGATATGCCTCCGCTACAGCAAACTGTACGTTTCTGCCTATGAATACAATGCGCTAATGTGTGTTTTGTTCTTTGCAATCAAAGAACCCATCTGCCATGATATGCTAGTAGTAATTGAGATGTTTTATGTGTTGGATGATCTTTTTACTAAAGAGAAATATTCAGCCATTGATATTAGCTTTATCAGCTTTCTTTAATTGAAAAACAGAGCTAAGCATGTCATTTTTGTTTATTCATTTAGTTAATTAATTAGGAATGTATTAATTAAGTTGATTGGATAACTTCTTGACTACTTATGTCCGTGTATAATGGAGGGGCTTAATAGGATAGAAATGAAGTTGTTGATTTAGAAGAAACCAATTTAATTTAGTAATATTCATGAAAAAAGACCATAAATTGAATGTAATCATTACATATAACAAACAAAGCATATAACATATACTCCGTACTCAAAATACACCATGTAGTGTGAACCTCAAAATAAAACAAATTCAAATGTAAACCTATAAAAATGCACCAAGAGTTATACTAGCACTTTTTAATATCTCAACGAACTCTTTCTTTTTGTTCACATAGGGTCAAATTTTATGTTTACCTATCATGAAAATACCTACATATAATGAACTCCCTCTATCCCTTAAAATTTGGCCAAATTTGATCGGCACGAGAATTAATAAAGTAAAAACTGTGTGGTTCAGGTTTGTGCAGAGGATAGAGAATAAATTGGAATCAAAAATCTTTATTCAAAAGGGAAAGTGACAAAGTTAGTAGGACAACCAAAAAATGAAAGTTGATAAAAATTCAAGGGATGAAAGGAGTAATTAATAGAAAACCCACAAACAATTCAGTTAGCAAAAAACGAAAATTTATAGATACAATATAATTAATAGTGAGAAATTATAATGAGTGTAAATTAAAATTATTATTAGTGGCCACTCCCCGTTTTTTTTTTGCTAAAGATTGGTGGAAGTTTAGGAGTGCTATCAATTAAAATTCCAATTACTAAATTAAACTTTTAAATTTTCATACCGAGTATTAATCATAAGGTAGATTCTATGGTACCCATAAGGTACCATACCTTTTAAATTTTCATACCGAGTATTAATCATAATTCTTACTCCTATTTTTGAGGCCCTCCCCACATGGAGGCACTAGGCGTAAACGCCTACGTTGATTGACCCGAAGCTGGGTCTAAAGTTATAAAACAATAAAACATCAAATGAGACTTTGAGCTACTCCTCATATCATGTTCAATATGGTATCTATTAACTTTATGATTTGCCCAGGTTTGCTATGTTGGTGGAATTGGCCAGATAAACATGAAAAAAGCGTTAGAAAATAATAATAATAATAATAATAATAATAATAATAATAATAATAATAATAATAATAATAATAATAATAATAATAATAATAATAATAAGGGATAAAGATCAGATAGGGCCTCAAACTTGAAAAAAAATGTCAAATAAGGCCATATTTAGGATGCTCTGTCCGGTCGACGTCATTTGGGGCGGTTCCCGGTGGAATTTTTTGTTGAATTTTTTTGGGAATCTTATTCATTAAGTCTAGTTTACTTATATCAAATTTGAACTAAAACTTCAATCGGGAAAGCATACAAATGAATTCTTGAAGATAACTGCGCAGTTAAAAGAGCAGTTATCTTCAAGAATTCATTTGAATGCCTTCCCGATTGAAGTTTTAGTTCGAATTTGATATGAATAATCTAGACTTAATGAATAAGATTCTCAAAAAAAATCATCAAAAAGTTCCACCGGGAACCGCCCCAAATGGCTTCGGCCGGACATAGCATCCTAAATATGGCCTTATTTGACATTTTTCCCAAGTTCCAGGCCCTATCTGACCCTTATCCCATAATAATAATAATAGCTCGAGTCGCGTAAACGCTGTTCTCAAGAAAGTATTTCCGACTAGCGAAAATCTTTCCGCAACATAAAACGAGCTCTTCGGCGTAAGCCAGTAACAGAACAACGAGAGTAAATTAAAAATTAATCTAGCAGAGTGAAAATATTGGGGAATGTTTAGCTAAAAAATAATCTTTTCCAACCAGATAGCTTGCATGGCCGAACATCAGAACATGTAAATATATATGAAAAAGATTGAACGTTGTTGCTCAGGCGAAACATTAGCATTTAAAACTAACGTTCTAATACTTTACTCCACATACATTGAGCATATAATATTTAAAGCTCAAAAAACGTTTCATATTGAAGTATTAGTTAATTAGGTTAACGTTAGTATATCAATATTATATTAACTATAATAGTGCTAAACTGCTAATGACCACCAACCATGCAGCCAACGTATAACATGTTTAGAAGAGCTAGACATAACAAAGCTATTTTACTTTAAATTAATCAACTTAAAGTTTCCTAGCATTATTACAAATGAAGGAAGACAAAACATTTTTAATACACCGTATATAACTTAATAGTAATATTTTATTCATTTGAAATACTTTTAGTATTTCCAACATGCTAATATAAAGAAAAAAATAAAACGTAATGTTTCTTCTTGCACGATCAAATTGGATCTGTCATCCGTAATCTTAGGCTAAGGAATAACTACCATAATTAAATAATATCCTAGTCATAAATAAAAAAACAACCTTAAACTGACAATATTACCTCTGTGTCCCACCACGTTTGAGACAAGAGGATGTGACACACAATTTTTAAGGAAAAATGGAATTGTGTGTTTGAGAAAAGAGGATGTGACACACAACTTTTAAGGAAAAACGGAATTGTGTGAATGATGTTAAATTGATAAAGTGTGAATAAAGTAAAAATGAATTGTAATCAATCAAATATTACCAAACATGATATGAGACAAACTTAACGAGACAGACGAAAAAGGCAAAACGGGACAAAGTTAGGGGAACGCAAGGAACATTTCCCAAGAATATCTCCCAATACCCTTCCTCAAGTTGGCGGATGGGGATTTAAAATGCGAACTTGCGTAGGATAGTTTAAAACTGAGCTTTGTCAAATGCTTTAGTAAAGGTATCAGCCAGATGAATGGTAGTAGGAACATAGTTGGAGCTAGGGATGGCAACGGAGCGGATCGGGGATGGTTTTACATATAACCGTACCCGCCCCATTTGGTAATTCCCCGGCCCTATAACTTCCCCATTACCAAACAGGTAATTTTTACCCAAACCATAACCGACCCAACGGGTAACGGGTATAACCACGGGTAACCGCAAGTAATCGCTTATTAAATGAGTCATTGATATTTTAATATAAAAATAATATTTTAGAAGGCAAAAGAGAACGAGAAAGATGAGAAAGAGAACAACCCTAACCTAAATTTTGGTATATCTACAAGACGAGAAAGAGAACAACCTAAATTAATTTGAACCTACAAATACTTAATCACGAAAAAATATGATAATAATCAAACAAGACTATTAAGATCTAGAAAGAATTCCCCTAATAGGACTAAAGCATGGAACAAATGCAAAAGTAGGACTCCTATGTTTAAAATGAAAAACTAGGACTACAATTTGCCTAACTGGACAAAAATACCCTTAATGAGATAAAACTAAAAGTCACGCGCGTTTCCAAGAAAAGTTCCGCTTCGGTCATTGCAAAATCCCAAGTTTCGTATTTCTTGCAGACGTCCAATGAGAATGTCAAGAATAATGACATGATGACGAAAGTTTCATATAAAAACATGACATTCTCAGTTGTAAAAAATATGAATTTTTAGATGAAAATAATGGCAATTTAAGGATGAGAATTCTGACATCATTTGGAAAACATGTCAAAAACATGTCATTTCTAATAACATGTAGTTATGTCATTCTCAGATAAGCCATAAGAATGTCATAAAATACCATAAGAATGACATTTTCTTATGGACCTATGACATTTTCAAATTGTCATTCTGATAAATATACTGCCACGAATGTGACAATTTTTTCAAATAACCAATGATTTTGACATTCTCATATTATAATAGTGGCATTTTTGAAAATAATCAAAATTAACAAATTAATAAAAAATCAAATTCAAATGTTACATGTGATTAGTAATTCGTTGAAACTTAGCTCCTAATTTCATATTTTTATATCCCAATTTAATCTAGAATCTTAAAAGTTCACAAATTACTTACAAGAAAATAAAAAACTAGAAAAAAGAGGCCCAGGAAGAAGAAGAAGAAGAGAACTAATACCCTGCCAAATTTGGCTCGACATTTGGCTCGGATAACTAATACATATAAACCGTATCCAGTTTAGAACGGATGTATCCGTGCCAACAGTTTGGCACGGAACA